CGTTCTGGTGAAATTTGTTTGCACTGCGGGATGGATAGTCAAATCCTCAGAATCTTCAGGGTGGAGTGATTTTCCATTTTAAGACTTGCCCTGTCCCTCTCCACCTTCCTGAAGCCCAAAGCTGCTTTCTCCCCCTTCCTTAAATATTCCCTTCTAGTTTTTAGGACACGGGTCACACGCAGCTCACCCAGGCTGGTCTTCTCCCAGGATAAATGTTTAACCAACTTCTGGAATCGGTGACTAGGATGCACACGGGGGGGAAAGGGGATTGTGACCACCCATGTATGGTGTTCGCCCCTGAGGCATGTGGGGCAGAGATGAGGAATCGGAGGGGCTGAATTTGAGGCAGGTAAGGGCAGAACGGAGCAGGTTCCCGACTTATCTGGCTTTGGAGCAACAGGCCGCCCTTTGAGCGCCAGGAGCAAAGTGGAAGAGCCACGGGCTATGCTGAAACAGCTGGCTCTGTCTATGGCAATGTAAAGCCGTGAGATTATGGTCTGTGCCGTACCTGCCAGATTGCCTCCTCCCCTCCTTTAGCTAGACCAGGAGTTCCACCCTGGTCTATAAAGGTAAAGGTTCCCCTTGACATTTAGTCCAGTCGTGTCCGACTCAAGGGCGCGCAGTGCTCATCCCTGTCTCCAAGCTGTAGAGCCAGCGTTTGTCCGAAGACAGTTTCCGTGGTGGTCACGTGGCCAGCACGACTAGACATGGAACACCATCACCTTCCCACTGAGGTGGTACCTATTTATCTACTCGCATTTTTAAATGCTTTCAAACTGCTAGGTCGGCAGGAGCTGGGACAAGCGATGGGAGCTCACTCCGTCGTGTGGATTCGATTTTATGATGGCTGGTCTTCTGACTTTGCAGCACAGAAGCTTCTGCGGTTTCACGCCCAGCACCACCACATCCCTACCCTGGTCTATAGATGGCCGTTATTCATAACATAACCACAAAGACACAGTCGCAGCTGATGGAACTACTTGCCACTCTGTCTATCCCTATCAGCCAGCTGGTTGTAGCAAGGACCCCCAATTCCCCACAACCAGTTTGATGTTGGAGGGAGGCATCATCCTGATCTTGATTGCGTCTGCAGCTTCCTTCCAGCAGCTGAAGCTTATGTTTTAAAAGACTAAAGACTTCGTCCCAAAGAGTATCTGTCGCTAAAGTCTCATTTGGGGGAGCTGGCTTTATTTTTGCTTTTCCTTGCAAATTATAACTTCACTCATATCTATCCCACATGGCAGTGGCTGCGTGCTGGGGAGCGGGGGAGCGCTTTTCCAGCCCCACAACCCTCACGGAAGCTGCCTCAGCTTCCCTCTAAAATGAAAC